ACTTTTTCATCTCCTGTATTTTCATTTGTTGATGGAACTGGTGTGGTGAATAACTGGCAAAGAAGTGGTGTTTCATCACTGCTGGAACGGCCAAGTGCCCTTGCCATTCCAATAAGCACTGGCACTATATCTCTGCACAGGTCATCTAGAGGAAACAAAACGATAATTCAAACCATAGATAATACAAGGCATTCTAAATGTACAACCCATGCTGGATAATGATTGCAACATTACAGGGGTCTGTAATACATTTTGAATAATGTAAATAAAAAGAAAGGAAAAAGAATAATAATAACTTGGCTATATTTTCTTGCTGACTACAAGAGAATAGAATAGAATAGAATGAATGATTTTGTTTAATGCAGATTGTTATAAACAAAAGTTTATATAGCAGAAATAAAATTATTTTTTTTAAATTTGTCAGGATTAAGATGTAATAAAAATGAACTTACGTCTTGTAATCTCGCCAGCACTTGGGCTCTGACATACAGTGCATAGTTCTTGAAATACTTCAAGCTGGCTTTGAAGAATCTGAAAACAAAGAGGACAAAAATTAGCATTTTATAATAATAGAAATAACTACATTATCAACAATGTGTCATCTAAAAAGCGGTACCAGTACTTCACTGTTAACAGAATATTCATTGAGTCACTGAAACATAAATCTAAGGAACAATGTCCTTGTAAGCTTACTGTTTATTTAGATAAAAAAAAAAACATGCTATGTTTTGTTAATTAAGTATGACTAGATATTGTATTATAAAAACATCAATATTCTCACCAGATTTAAAAAATTACCGGATTCGGCTGATACCCCGCCCTGGGCGATCTTACGGAAGATTCAATTTTTTTTTTGAAAAATGTGGACCAAAAGATCGCCCGGGCGATGTTTTGGCAGTTATTACGAAGACCATATTGTCTGGAAAAATAACCCTGCGTTGATAAAAAATAGTCTCAGAAAATGTTTAGAAAAAATAATGTTTTGCGTTGACCAAATATAATCATGCAAAGTATAAATTCAAAGTGTTTTAATACATTGGTGAGAGGTCGCATTTTACGTGAACAAAAACATGCACCAAGAAGGAAAAGCAAGCCAAAGTCGAAACAGGGTGCATCATAGACATGACACAACACATGCTGCGACAACTGAGTGATCAGCGACATCATTTTGGGACGCAATTAAAGTACTTCTTTGCGAAACTTGCTGCGCGGCGATGCTGACATCAAGTGTGTGTTGACCGATGTTTGACCCCAAGTCACGCACTGAACTGGCGCGTTACCTTAGCATCCTTTTTCTTTCATGGTCCGCGCGTCGATCTAGTAAAATTGTTATTATATCCGACGGTACTGTAATTACGCAACTTGTATGCAACTCTGTACTGGCTTTGAATATATCAACGTCGTTTACTTAGTGCACTGCTTTTCTAATTACGCAAATTTGTTTACAATATTGTACCGGTTCTGAATATTTCAACTTTGTAATATATTGCTTTCATGATAATTACGCAAATCCAAGTTATTTTTTACTACTGTTAGGGCGCTGACCCGGGGTATTGGGTCTGTAAATATTTCAATATTACCGACTTGATAATGTGTTGCATTCGTAATAATTACGCAAACATAAACATGGGCGCATAAAAATCATTAAAAGGGATAGTAGTCAGGTATCTATGGAAAGTCGACAGAGAAAATATTTTAAATACTTGTGATTCATCGATGTTCCAATGGTGAATTATTTTATTCGAATTGAAGTGAACATGTAATATAAATCATACTATGCATCAAGTTAAATTTTACTATAATATAATAAACTCTGGACAGCGCACTTAATTCGATCGCAATATTCATGTACATTTAGTCTGAACTCTAATAACCCCGCGTTTGAATTATGTGCGGCATTGGGTAATGACCTCCCGAGTTCACGCACTGATATTTAAATTCGGGCTATCCAGCTTGACGCAAATCAATATAGTTACTTGTCATTTGTTAAAAAAATCTTTCAACTCTCACAAACGCATGAACGCAAAGAGTTAACTGGGGGTTAACTGAAAGGGAACGTCTTTTTTGGAAAAAAAAACACGTCAATACAAGATTATGTGTGCAAAGTTAGATTTATAGAACGTACATGACCGCTTAACTCTGTGTTTTTTTAATAATCATGTCACATGTGAAACGCAGGAGACATTTTAGTTCGCCCATTTCTTGTTTACCGATCTTGAACTTTTTGTCTGGAATGCGATACAGACAAAGATCAAACATTACTGATCACAACCAAGAGGCTCGAATCAGGAAGGCTTGGCTATTTTAAACTTCGTAAATAACATTCTTTTCAAGCGTAGACTTTATTCGAGTCTAATAAACGTAAGTGAAATGTATTTTAACGAGTCATAATACGCAACAACAATTCGTATACAGCATTTGTTTTATTGGAGTTTCATGCTTTTCGACTTCACAGTGAATTATTGTTAGTGTCATATTTGAAATAGCGCGCTCGATACAAGATGTCGGACAGGAAAATTGGGTCTGTAAAAATGTTTGTAGGTTCAGTCAGGCAATGTGTGGACCAAAACATCGCCCACTATTTGAAACATCGCCCATGGGGTTTAGGATGAGCGGGGTATCAGCCGAATCCGGTAGTTATCATAAAAAAGATCAGGGTTTTAGAAAACAAACTTTTCAGATTAATAGTCATTGTCCGTGACATAGTCCCTGTTTATAATTGGCTGAATTAATATTTCAGAAGAATCATACCAACAAAAAAGAAATTGA